TATATATATATATATGATATTTATTGATTTAGATAAAGCATATAATAAAGTGATTTTTTATTTTAGTATTAAGCATTTGGCCTAAGTATTTTTCTTAAGAGGTTATAAGAAATAAGGTGATTTGGCCTTAGTATTTTGTTTTGGTCATGAATCTTCTTAGTAGAAGTGCTATGGAGAGTTTCAAGAAAAGTGCTATGGTGAGTTCTTGAAAAGAATGGAGTTAATAACAATTATATTCCAATCATTAAAGATATGTATGCAGGAGCTATTACTTGTGTTCAAACACAAGGTGGATTGACAAACTATTTTCCTATTTCGGTTGGATTACATCAAGGATCAGCCTTAAGTCCATATCTTTTTGCTTTAGTCATGGATGTTCTCACTAGACATTTGTAAGAGAATGAGTGGCTTGACCCTTTTAGAAATCATAATTTTGTACAATCACCTTAATGACTTCCTTGAATTGAATCACATACGACTTTGCTCTTATATGTAGGTTATGGATATTAGAAATCAAAGAAGTTGGATGTTAGCTAAATACTTAAGGAGAAAATCGATTTAATAAAGTGGAAATAGATCTTTAGGAATAAAATAATAATAAAATACTATATTAACTATATTAACAATTCTATGGAGAAGACACTTTTTAATTTGGACTTATATTGACTCTAGACAAAAAATATTTACATGGGTCAAAATATGCGTTATTACACCTTGTTCCTCCAAGTGTCTATTTATATTTCGTTGGTGGCTCTAGAAAGAAGTTCTTAAGCTCAAGGACGTGGTTCTCTTCTATCACCAAGAGGGTAAGCAAGGATGTCGTGGTACTTTGCCATTAGCAAGAGGGTGAGAAAGGAGATAGAGGTTCACTTCCTTCTCCAAGAGGGAGAGAAATGTTTGAAGGTTTGCTCCCATCACCAGGAGGGTGACAAGGCTTTCGGCTCTCCACTGCATCAGGTTTTGTGGAAGTGATTTATTTAAGAGCTTCTTCGCCTTAATGTGGAGACAAAAGAAGAGACATTATAGTGATAGTGGAATACTTGGAGAAGAGGACTCCGAGGAGTAGACGTTTGTCATTATTTGACCAAAGCACTATAAATCTCTAGTGTGTTTCTTCTATTTTTTATTCTCACATTTTTACTATTTTACATTTTAATTCCATGTTGCTTGGTGAAAATCATTATTAATGCTTCATTTTATTGATTAGAATATCATCATTGTTGTTTTGATATTTTGGTAAATTTGCTTGCTTCCGTATTAAGTCATAATTGTTAATTATTTTTCAAATACTGAAAAATTCAAAAATATAATTATTTATTTTTGAAGTAAGCAATTAGTTTTTTTTTAATTTACTAATTCACCCCCCCCGCTTTGGTGTACCTAAATACAAGTTCACTTAGACTTAACATCCTTATTGAATATTCAATTTATTGGGGAAGGGTTTGAAAATTGGAAGAAGAAAGAAAAACTATTAAGTCATAAAAGTTTAGATGAATATTAAAGATTATAAGATCATATTGAATGTAGGAGTGGATTGTATTTGATTTCTCTAACGTTAAGGATTATCAGTCCATATATATGATGAGTCATCTAGATTAGATAATCGAGGAAATTATTTGGAGCTCTTAGATTTTCTTACTAATCATACTGAAGAAATTAATATAATTACAGCTATATATGCAAGCTTAAATTTAAAGCTAACTTCACCAAAGGTCTAGAAAAAATTTATTGTGCTATAATTACTAAAACTTTAATATTTATCATAAAGGATATTGTTGACTCTTAACTGCTCAATTATATTGATGAATCTATGAGGTTTCTACGAAGGAATAACTAGATATTGCAACGAGAAACGTAGATATATAGGTTGAGATAAGTTATTTGAAGATTTATAGACATTAAATATATTATATCTACTACTGCTCTTGCGTAGAAAGAAAACAATGAAAATATACTTACAAAATAAATATACATAGGATATGTGGTCAATGACATGATGATGTAATATATAAAAAGAGTTTCATAGTTTAAAGACACTAATACTTAATTATAACCCTCATGGATTCTATGTTCATTACTTTGCTCATTTGCTCCACTATGCTTTGTGGTTATAGCAAAAAACTATTGACATATGAAGCATCTTTTCAAGATCACTTCAAGAATTGTTAATAATTTAGGAGCTTCATATAAGATGAGTGATGCTCTTAAAGTCATTCAACATGATAAAATAATTTTTCAACTAATCAAAGGAGAGTTGAGTAATGGTCGATGTTTGAATTAAGAAATAAGTTTATAATGAGCTAGTGATACTTGTTGGGGTTCATATTTTCATACCCTAATTAATCTACAAAAATGTTTGCTTAAGTAATTAAAGTGCATGAAATTATTAAAGAAGATGGGATATATTATCAATAATTATTAAATTGGTGTTTTGATAGATGCTATGGAATCTTTTAATTTTATCCTTGTAATATACTTAATGATTGACATTTTAGGTGTTACAAATAAATTATCATAAGCTTTAAATAGAAAATATCAAGATATCATGAATGCAATGAAAAATTAATACAAGTCTTCAAACAACAATCACAAATGATAAGGGAGAATGGATGAGATTCTTTAATAGATGAAGTATCATGTTTTTGTAATATTTTTGAAGTTCATGTTCCTTGAAACTAAATTCAAGATTCATCGATGATCAGTACACATAAATAAGAAAATTATAAAAGTGTTTGAAAGTGTTTTAGTTCTTGAAAAAGTTTGCATGTGTTATATAATGTGTCCCTAGAGTCTGGAGTGAATTTTAACAAAATTTGAGAAATGTTACTATTTAAGCATCTAGGTATTAGTTGTCTGAGCGCCTTAATGTTATTGCAATACTAAATGCCAAATAGTGATATTGCAATGCTATATTCTCAAAGTTTTGGAAAAATGACTAATGTTATAGTGCAAGGATTATAGCACCGTAGTGCTAAGCTACTAATTGTACTTTAAATATAAATTATGCCACTATTCAATTCATTCAAGAATCGCATGCAGTTGAAGGAGAGAGGAGAGGTATTTGGAAGAGAATAAATGGATTTTGAGCCACTTTGGGCCATTTTTAGTCATCTTCTCATTTGAGAAAGTTCATAGAATTGAGGCATGTCACATTATGCCTATCTTAAATTTAAAAAAATATGAAGATTTTTGAATTTTTAATTAAATTTCTATTTCTATTACTAAAAAATGAGGATAACTTTGTATTGAAAATTTTTTTTTGCCAAACATTTTATATGTTCTAGAGATTGAGATTATGAAAGTTTTGAGTATTTTTTAAAAATTTTATACCATGTATTTTAAAAAAATATGCAATTTTATTAAATACAAAATAATCTAGACTCTGAAAAAGAATGTTGTAGTAAAATTTAAATTTTAAAATAGTATTATACATCATTCTTGATAATTTGATTGTAATTTGAGATTGTAAAATTTTACCCAGTAGGAATTTTTGTTGTTTACCGTTATAAAATACTGTGTAATTATGATATGTGCTCAAGTATGCTTTAATTATTATAATATGATGAAATATATACTTATGTGATTTAATTATGACTGTCAGGAGATCTACTGGGATAAAATCTTTTGAAATTTTATCTAGGCCCAAGAATCTGTTGTCTATAAGCCATATTCTAGTATCTATAAGCTATGTTATAGTGGTTATGAGCAATGTTAAGATGTCTACAGACATGTTCTAGTGCTATAAGTATAAAAGGGAGTCATAAGTGGTCAGAATTTTTGAGATTCTATCTAGATCCAAAAAAAGAGAAACTGATACGAATTATTCTGGGATTGAATTTCAATTTATTAGACTGCTCTTAGTAATTGAATCTTTGAATAATTTCTATGCTTTTGTTACTGCAGAATAATTTATTATACTATATTTGATTACTTTTAAATATTCTAAAAAATGTTTAATAAATTTGTTTGAAAATTATATCATTTTTTGTAGCCTACTAAGCTATTGTAGTTAACTATGCCTTTGCTTTTGGTTTTTAAGATTTGAGAAATGGAAGGAGCTAGTTGATCATAAGTTCAGGCTACATCTGAGTATATATGTATTTTTTTTATTTTGATTTTTGTACAATCATGTATACATTATATTTTGTTTTACTCTATCTTCCGTGGTCATATACTATTTTATAAATACATTTTCATGAAATGAAAAGAGATCTTGTGGATGAGTTTATTTATATTACTCTGGATATTTTTAATAGCTATGTAGTTTGCTGTTTATTTTAAGTTTTAAATTAAAAAATAATTCTAAATTATTTTTAAAAACTTTATTGGGATTTGCTTATCATTTGATTTAATAACAAATCGTTACTTTTTTCGTCCAGTCCAGTTTTAATCAAGACTTAATTTTTTTTTAACCCCAATGCCGGTTGCAAAATCCCATATAAAAAGGAGAAATAATTTAAAAATTTTAATTTATGCTTCCTTAAATAGAAATACAACTGTAGAAGGCGAATACGTAACGTACAGTATACTGTCTCAACGTAATTTGGTTCACGGCGGTTTCTTGATTGTGCGGCTGTGATCAGCCCTCGACGGTCGCTAGGGTTTCTGTTCCCACACAAAGCCCACGTTTTGATCGACGAGAGAGCCGCGCCGTATTGCTCGGATAGCCATTCCCGAGGGTTTCTTCCCCGTCTCTAAATTCTATCCAACTCTTTCTTCTCCACCCGCAGCCTTCGAAAAAACACAAAAAAATCCAAAAAAAACCAGGAAAAAGGGGAAAAAAAACACAAGGGGAAGAAATCGATTATCATATTTTTCATCTAGTATCCATATCTGTTATCGGTCATCAGTATATCCGGGAAAGGAGGAGGGCTTGTGTTCTACCCGTTTCCAATTTTCCTCTAGGGTTTTCTACGGGAAAAGGTTAAAGAAAAAAAGGAAACCAGGTTCATGGCGCAGGTGGAGTTGCCGCCTCAGGCTCTACTGGACGTCTCGAATGGATTGCCGGAGGTTAGTGACGCCTCTTCTTCTGGCGACTCTGGAAACCCGTACCCGTTCACGTCAACATCGCTGTACGTTGGGGACCTTGACCTGAACGTCACGGACGCACAGTTGTATGATACGTTTCGCCAAGTCGGCCAGGTTGTGTCTGTCCGCGTGTGCCGGGATACTTCTACCCGCCGATCGCTTGGATATGCTTACGTTAATTTCAGCAATCCGGTGGATGGTGAGTCAATTTCAATAAGCTATGTTTTTTTTTTTGGGGAATGATTTTGGTTCTTGATGGCCATTGATTGTTTCAGAAATTTCTGTGCTTATATTTTTTATTTGGTTATGATTGCTTTGAATTATATTCTGATGTCATTAGGTCCAGAGAAACTGTGTGGAATTTTGTAACGATTATATGATTTATTCTCCATAATTTTTTGGGATGCCCGATGACTTGAGGAGTGAGTTTTGATTTGTTTTCCTAATTGTTATAAGGTGCCTTCTTTCTAATATGTTCTATGCTTTCAATGTATTGATTTTTTAAAAGTATGGCCAACATTGCAACTGCAACTTTCATAAGAGGAAGGGTAGATAATGTGCGACACATAAACCATAACATATCTGATATAAGTTCCTCACAACCCCTTAAAGCATTAATATGTAATGCAGAGAATTCACATGTGCAATTTTTACTGATACCCTAAATGCTGGTTGGTATTTTTAGTCTTAGCCAGGTTTCTTCATCTTATAGAACACACTTGTCTTTTCAAGGAACAATAGTAACATATAAGATCAGAGTAATATTCTGTTCTATATTGTATTTGATTTGATTTGATTGCTCAACTACTTTTTTGAATGGGGATACATATATGAATGTGATTATTTTTTAGTCTATAAAGAAAGCATAATCAAGGAGATAGCTATCTTAATCTTTTGACGAAAAAAAGGAATTTTTTTAGATATTTGGCTAAGTTGCAACTTGTGTAAATGATATATGGGTGGTATGGGGGTGGGCTCCTTAAATGACCTAGGCTTGCTCATAAGCCCTTGAGCCCAACCCTATAAAATCTCTAATAGCCTAATGATTATAAGCTTGAATGGGCTAACCATAATGATATTGAGGTCAGCCTATGAGCCCATTTATCATTTAGAAGTCTCACCGTTGCCTCGATTAGTCACCATTGAGTGATTTTAAATTAAAATAAAAGAAATAATCTTGGTAGTATGATATGCACCTACAAACTCATGAGATTATAAATGAACACTTAACCATAGACCAGCAGTTCATTTGCTCATATTATGTAGCAAATATTTATAAATATTTTCACTAACATCAATTTTTCATTGAGCTATTGTAAAGTAAAAATTAATTTAGAATATATTTTTTTGAGTTCGATGCTCGTGGTTAAAACTCAAATATGTTTGTTGAGATAGTTGAGTTTTGATTTGATTAAAAATTGAGCAATATTCTATAGTAATTTAATGGATAAAACATATTATGCAACTCATTAAAGCCCATTGTAAGTTTGAGCTTGGCAAGCTTGTGATTTTTTAAGTTGGATTTATCTATTTGACACCTAAGGTGGAGATAGGGTTTGGGGCAAGTAGGCAAAGGGAAGTGATGTTATGGGCACCAATTGGAAAGGGTGATGTGGTCCCATCATCTTCCAAAGAAGCTTGCATACCTCTTCATAGCGGTGCAAGCTTTTTTTGCTTTCAAAAGGAAACTTGTAACCTTAAGGAACAAGGAAGAGATGAGGGAGAGGACTAGATTGAGAGCTAGAATGAAAAAAATGAGAGCGAGGAAGACTAGCATGCATCATGCTAAGTGGCTTCCTTTCTTTCAAGAGTATTCATTTGTATTGTGACATCATGCCGAAGTGGACAACAAAATGGTTGATGAAGTCAGGTATTCACTTTGTTTAGCTAGTCTCACTATATTTGTCCCCAATTTTGATCACTTTAAACATGATCACCATTCATGTCCAATTTTCTATCTTCCAAGATTTACGAAGTGATAGCCATCCCTTTTAATAGATTATTGCATTTGTTATTTCTATGTTTGTAAGTTTCCTTGTTTTGAGTTGCCCTCACCTTACATGAATTCTTGTATGGAAGCTATATGGGGAAGGAATGGTTGGGCAGGTTGGCTGCAACAAAATCTTTGGCTTCATCATAATGCACTTCTATTAGACTTTCCTAAAAAAAAATGATGTCACTTACATTTTGCACTTGTTGTATCTTTTAATAAGTCAAAGCAACTAAAAAACTAAGTCAATATGTACAATCCATTTCCCATTTATAATGCATGGACATGGATACGAAGACATGGACACTCCATGGCATGTGTATTTGACACTCTTAAGGTGGAGGTTGGGTTGCGTCCAATTAGGCAATGAGAAATGATCTTGTAGGCACTAATCGAAGAGGGAGATTTGGCCCCTTCATCTTCAAAAGAAGCTAGACTAACCCTTTCTAGTGGAGCAAGGTTCTTACTTTTTATAGAAACTTGTAATACTTAAGGAACAAGAAAGAGATTATGTATAGGAGTAGATGGAGAAATAGAATGAAAAAGATGTGAGGAACCTAACATGCATTATACTAAGTGGTTTGTTTTTTATTTTTGTGGGCTTCGATAATTCGGCATCGGCCTCCGCCCACTGCTTTTCTTCTTCGGGGGAATTTTAACATATTAAGTTCCGGGGTAAATTTTGGAAGGCATATGTGTTTGTAGATAAGACACTACCCAGAGATTTCACCCTCATTGTGCGAGGATTTTATGATCTGATTTTTGGTTTTCTATAGGCGCAAGCCCCTATAGTTAATTACCCCTCCCGATAATGAGAGAGAACTTTCGATTAAGGCTAGTCGTCAATCAGATATGTAAGAATATGTGTTATTTGACATATAGTAGTAGCATGAGCTTAAGTAGAGTTTGAGAATTGATATTTAAAATAAAAATTTCACCATCATTCACTTAAAGCGGATGGTGGGGGAATGGATGATGGACCCGATCAAGATCCCATGGTTCAATTATCCCGGGCCATCATGGTCCCTGGCCTACTTAGTTAGAGGAGGTAGTCAACCCAACCTAACATAAGGATTCTTGTCGGTAGCCATAGGTTGCTTCGTCCAAGGGTACCTTGAAGACGTGGGGTGAATGTTTGTCTAAGGGTACAAATTTGGATCCAGCTTAGCTTATAGAGAGCTTTGTGCCCTATAAATCATATCCTATTGATTCATATCTTAAGTATTTGATGCCACTAAGAAACGTATTGACTCTGGCCATAACCGGTATCTTGTGGTGCCATTTGACGACAAAATCACTCAATTAAGAGGGCCTTGGGTCATAACCGTTTATCCTGTGGTGCCATTTGGCGGCAAAACCGTCGGTTAGAGGACATATATCACGTCCTTACTGGCAGAAGATTATTTGAGAATATATCCTAGTGATATTTTCGACTAGGTATTAGTTCTATTGGGTTGAAATAAATTTCACTTTATCCACATCGTCAAACTGTTTTGGAGGGTGGATGGATTTTACTTAAGTATTTTGATGGATGATTTCAATTTTAACTATCTTGGAGTTTTGAGATTTTTGGATTTTCGTGGAGTTTGGATTTAGGTGGCATTTGGAAGGCATTTGAATACTTGGAATTAACCCATCTGGTTGAGATTTGTATTCAATACGGCCATCATCGGAGTGTTTGGGGTCATTTCCATTTATGGATTGAATCTTGTCGACTTTACTAATTTGTTGGCAGAGGATCGGGTTTGTTGCTGGCGTGCTTTTATTAATGATTTTTTTTTGTTGGAGGCCTTGAAGGCCTTATATGAACGTATAAAACAGATATCTTTGTTGAAACCTGACTATATATCTGTTTGATAGTTTGAGCCGTATTGACTCCTATCTACCAATATAGAAGGATCGAGCTCAAAATGTGTTCATTTATTGACCCGCACAGCATCCCTAGACGTCACATGTTTACCCATAACACGCTCGACGGAGCTCATGCGGCTGTACTATTGCATTCGCCCCCTTTTTTGTACCTATGTGTATACATATTACAGTGCATATGCAGGGGTGTTTTTGAAATATTTGTAAAAGCCTTTTGTCTGCTTGCATGGATGCTGCGGATCTGTTGGCGTGGCGTCATACTATAGTTACTTGCCTGTTTTATATAGGTAGACTGTCGTGCCCTACTTGTTGCTTTCTACAGGTGGATTGTAGTGCACTAACAAATCTCCTGCTTTGGCTCGTTGGAGCTTGCTCTTGTGATATAGTCTTTTGGCATTTTGCTTGTGCTTGATTGCTAGTATATATGATGGGTCTCTTATAAGGCCCATGGGTGTGTTTGCATTTATTGCATATCATCCAGTGTTTGATTGTAATGGATCAACGTATTTGCTCAATCTTGAACAGTGATTGATCAGAAAGGTTCCATAACGTTCATTGCCTTCTGCTACGATAGCTTATGATCGCTTATATTCATCACAAGCCTACTTCCTATGTTTGTAGGTAACTTGTATCTACAAAGAGTCTTTGAAAGTGGCCTATAAGAACCTGCATTTGTTGTAGTCCTGCAACGTAACATACTCATTTGCGAATTGATGTTGGTTGATTTGCTTATGGTATGCTCACAATCTTTTGTCATTGCTCCCAAGTATCTATATTTGTTATAATTTGTTGCGTTGGATGTATATATGATGCATTGCATACATCATAATTCTTTCATGCACATTGACTGCGAGTCGATATGTTTGCTTGCGTCTCAGCTTTCAATATAGTCTGGAGACTGATATTCTTGCTTACAGGACCGATGTGAATGTTACATATAAAATGTCCTCACTTGTAGGTGATATATTTGGTAACGATCTTTTCTCCTTCAACTGTGATCAAGTTATATATATCCCTTTAATTTTCATTGCTTGTGGAGTTTGAATGCTGGTGAGTCGTGTTTACTATAATTCTCCTCGTATTTGCTTGTAGATATGATGTTGTACACATAACAGGCCTCTTGTAGTGATTCATAGGAGTTTGCACTTATTGTAGTCCTTAGACATTTTGCTCGTAGATGGCATATGGTGCATATGACGGGTCTCCTACAACGATTTGCAGGAGCTTGTATTTGCTGTACTCCCTTTTGTATTTGTCCACAAATGTCATTTGGTGCAAATAGTGGATCTCCTGTAAGGGCTCGTAGGTATTTGCATTTGTTATGTATCTTTCGCCTTTAC